CCTTGAGTCACCTGTTTCACATTTATTTATTTTTGAATGAGACTAAATCACATCTTCTCTCACAGTGTTGGGTCATTCACACAGGTAGCATCAGAGCCCAGTTGGCACTTGACCAACGAGGCCACTGTGAGCCTCTGCCGAGCTGCCACGACTGACACACAAAGCAAGCTGTGCTGACAGCCTAAGATAAATGACCTGTTAACAGTCTCTGTCTCTCTGTTTTTCTTATCACATCTCTCACTCTGACTGTGATTGAATGAGCATATTGATCTTCCTCAGTGAGAACATGTGTCTAAACTGGATTTAAATAACTGAATTAGCCCTAAAAAGGCAATAAGCTTTGATGCTGCTGCATAGTCAAATGACTGCAACAGATTTAAGGGAGGCCTGATTGAACTGCAGATCAATATCGGGGACTTTCTAGCCTGAAGCCAAGAACATGTTGGCATTTCAAGACTCTCTTGTGAATTTCAAGGCATTCTGGGTCTCAGTAAATTTAAAATCTCAGCTCTGTTTTTAAAAAAATATAAAATATTATTGAGTTCTTTTTTTGTAGACAAATAACCCTTTTTTTCTCTAAATGCTAGCTTATAATAGCAGTTTCTCAAATTTGATTTTTGTCATGCTGCTCTTTAGAGGCTAATAATATTTAGTCCCCAGAATAAATACATTGATTGCAACACCATCAGGAACATAACATAAGGTTTACTTTTCACATAGTTCCTGTTGTGCAAACAAAAGTCGCCGCTTGATGCTTTGCTCAGCAAAAGCTTAAAATGCAACATTACAGTAAAGCCAACGAACCACATAAAAATGTGTATACAGATCACATGTGTCCAACTCAAGACTCTTTATACATTTTAATAAGGCCTGTGTATCACTTTAGGTTCTTAAATGTATCAACTGAGCTGGGAAACTGAGTAGAGCACAAAGAGAGTCCCATTCTGCTCGATTATTCTGTTTGAATCCACATAGTAGCAAAGATACGGCGTCATAGATGAAGAACGGTTGCTTCAGAAAGTTGCTGGACTGAGAGGAGAAATGTAACTACAGCATGTTTCTTTGAAAGTGAGCGAGCTGTAGTCATATTCAGGTTTGCGTGTTGTTGTAAAACTGTAATCAGAATACATTATTTTGCTTGGCTAAATGTTGTAAACCCCTCAGTCATAAAAGGCTGAGGAATATTGACATCACCCCGCTGGTAAGGCGGGTGGGGGCGTGGCCAAAAAAGTTTGTGAACTCCATTGGCGCACATTTGGGATTGTCATGCCAACAGGTTCAGCTTGAACTAGTAACACAGTTGCTTTATTCCACCAATTACTGCGGCGCTAGTGTAGCTAATAGGATTACTGATTAGCAAAGAAGTAACTAAACATGTAACAGAAACAGAAACATGTCTCAAACTCACATTTTATTCATGATAGAATATAGAAAACCAATCAAATGTTTCAACTGAGAAAATGTACCATTTTAGGAAAAGTATTAGTCTATTCTGGATTTGATGACAGCAATACTTTTCAGACGTTGTGACAGGGTGATGTTTACCACTGCGTAGCATGCACTCTTTCTTTTTTTTAACAACAGTCCAAAAACATCTGGGAACAGAGCAGCTGTTAGATTTTTGAGAAAGCAATGTTTTCCCATTCTCGTTTGGTAGAAGATGGATTTGTTTTGTTTTGTTGCGTGCAGTATTATGCGTGCAGTACCAGGACGGAAATAATAACCAAAACCTTCTTAAAAGCAAAGCTCTACTGGGAGGAAGGGTTGTATCAGGAATAAACTCTCTTCCAAATCAAACATGCAGATTTATCCACTGTCTCAGCTGAACTATGGACACGCACACATACACTTACACTGATAAGCACACACTCATCCCCCTCCCTTTCCAAACACGGCGGGTCTGTGTGCCGCGCTGGAATGATAGCGCTGTGCAGGGCGGCTGCTGTGTTCGCTTCGGATTACTCCTCACCCCCCACCCAATCCTGTGGCTTGTCATGTCTTTCACAAAGTTGTGCTGTGGACATTTATGTGCTTTTTGTGCAGAGGAGTTTTTTTGTTTCCTGTTCTCGTGCTGTCCTACCATGGAAGCACAGCATGAGTAGAGCTCTCTTTTTTTCCTCTTGTACTTTCCCATTGTAGTGTATATTTCAGTGTTTTTCTGTAACGCTACCGATCTCCGACTTGTATCCCCATGTAATGTCTGTGTTGTGTGTGTAAGGTCGGGGGGGGGCTTTGATTAATAAAGCTTTGATTGATTGATTGATTGATTGGAAATAAGAAAGCACCCAAAGTACCATCAGCCGTTCATCAAGGTGGAAGCTATGGCTTATAGTAAAACGATAAAGTTAAGCTGACGGATAATTATACAGTTAATGTTTAAATGATGTTTGATGGGTTTGTTTGTTTTTAATGTCATGATGACAGTCACAGTGGTAAATTATGTGAAGTCACTGAAAAGATTCTGGTAGGATGTATGCAGTGAGAAATGTGTCTCATATCTTTCCACCCACAAGATAAACTATGAACTGTTTCTTATCACGGATGTGTGATCTCTATGAACGGTTCCAGTGTTTGGCTGGGTTAACTTATTCTAGGTTAATATTTATGGATTTAGCAGATTGTGTCAGTGTCTTTTCACAACTCGCTGATTGTTGATTCACACAGTCCATTCTTCCTGCAGCTGTTGCAACAGTGCCAATACTGTTTCAACCACAATAATACACATCAAATATAAAAACTGTATTTGTTTCCTACAGTCATACAACACATTGAACTGTTATTTAATAGGCTTAGGGTTAATTTTATGCAATTTTATTGCACATTTTTATTTTTGAAGTACATCAACAATCAGGAATAAGAGTGTAGAGGGGTTAGAACATTGTTCAGTCCCTCAAAACTAAATTCCATTGAAATATCTAAGAGCATATAATCCCGATGACTCACAGAATCCTCTTCATCCTCTTCATCACATTGGGACTAATACGTTTTCTCTCTTCTTCTTTCAGTAAAGAAAGCCAAACTCCACGGGCCCCCAGGTAAGAGCGTATTATTTTGGCTCTTTCTCTGCTGCACTTTTTTTGTATATGCTATTTGTATTTCTACATTATTTCACAGTAAGTCACTTTAGTGATCTCTAAAACTTGATACAGACATATTGACTCTGCAGTGTCTGTGTCCAAGATACAGAGAACTTTATCATCCAGGAAAAACAGTATCCACTCATCACACTTTTTGTTTTGTCTTAGAGATCAAAAAAAAAGAAATATAAACAGTTTTCTTTAAGGTTGGACAGAGTCCTCTTTTTAAGACCTTGACCTTTTTCTCACAGCCTGAGGTTTTGCACCAGTGTTAGAAGTCTTCAGTTTGTAGGCATGCTAAGACTTTAATCATGCACAGCTGAGGCTGGCGGTGCTCTCATTAGTTTTGAAGATATTTAATAAGCAAAAACGGAATATTTTGAGCAGATGTTTGAAAAACAGCAAGAGGTGTCCTAATGTTTAAAAGTCCTCCAGTGACCTTGAATGCCTGACAGCATCAGAAATCATGCTCAGAGCTCAATACAACAGAAAGTTTGGCCTTGATGATTTTTGCACCTTTTAACCTTTAAACTGTCTCTGAGCGGGGTGACCTGGACACTGGACGGGACGTGGGGGCGTTGGTGTCCTGCCATAGACGGCTGGAGGCCTCATCTCTGCTAACTGGAGTCACTGAACTTTAATATGTTTATCCTGTTGGTGCCATTTGGAGCAACTTTAATGGAAATTTCTGACTAATATTGTAGCTTGTTGTTCATAAAGTTAATATTTTGGTAGTAAATGTATTTTATTAGGCAAATATGTATATGAAACACATTTTTTTGGATGCAGTTTGCTAACCTAGCTTACTAGTGTTAGCTGATAGTACTCCATATAAAGTCTTTTATCCACATAAAGTCACTTCTGGCACCAAAAAAAACGGGCATCTCCGAAAACGTTAGAGCACTTTTGCAAATATGTGATGTCTTGATAAATCGAGCAGGTATTTGAAGTTCACACAGAAACATTCTCGCATGAAAATATCTTTAAAGTTTATTTTGTGACCCAGACAGAGTAATATTTCAAACTCCGCCACTCTGTGCTCCTCCGCCACTGCCTCGTTTGAGTTTTGGACCAAATGGATTCTGGGATATTGCATTTCGTCATTTCAAGTCTGTGATTGGCTGGTTTTTGTGGCACAAATATAATGGTGTACACAAAGAGTTGAGCGCGCACGGGCAGAAATGTTGAGAGCGCGAGCAACACATTGCGAGCGAGCGCAAATGGAAAAACTGAGCGAGAGGGGCTGCTGTTGTGTATGTGGATAATAGCAAACACTGAAATACATTTTTTGCACGCAGCAATGAATTTTGTTCACTCAAATTCAGCTTTTCTTCGCTCAAAATAAATTTCTCCTCAAAATACAACACTTGCACCTGCAAACGTTTTTTACGTGCGCTCAGAATAGTGGCACAAAAATAACGCCATAGTAGTCAGAGTGCCGGCCAGTGGATTTAAACCCAGATGGTTGCTATGAGGCGACAGTGGAGTTCAGTTGCCTATGGGCAATTTAGAATCGCCACTAACCGATCCTCACTAACTGCATGTCTTTGGACTGTGGGAGGACGTCAGAGTACCCGGAGAGAACCCATGCAAACTCCCCACAGAAAGGCCCCGGCCAGGAGGGGGCTCAAACCCGGGGTCATGTACTTAAGTTGAATTAAAATGTGGAAATAAAAGTTTGTCAGTCCAAAAAAAGGGTACATTTGGATCTGCTAACCAGATGTTAGTCAAACGCTTGTTTGAATCTCTCTGTGGCTGCACACAGACGTGTCACAAAGCTGAAAAAACATTTTTCAAACTGTTCCTTTTCACGCATGAAGCATCAACGATTCAGCAGCCAGCCAAGAGTGGGACTCCCTCTTCCCGCACATTTTTCTTCTTTGTTTTTTAAACAGTTTTGCTGGCTGCAGCTGTTTGTCCTTCCATCTCCTCTCCAGGCGATGATGACGGTAGAACAACAGCAAAGAGTGGGAGATTGAGAAATCAAGCTGGAGGACTGGAGAAGGAAATCAATAGATCATCACAGACAAAGGGCCACCTGCTAGCCTGAAATGACTACGTGTCATCCCGGCATAAAGGAGACGATGGAGACAAATCTCTGTTTCTTTAGTAGACAGAGACAGACTCCATACACGAGCGATTTGTCACTGGCTGCCTTTGGCCTCTGATTGACGAGCAATATCTCAGAGCAGGAGGGCGAGATTTGAATCCAGGGTGCATGAAACGGGACATGGGTGGTTGTGTCGGTGGCACCTGTGGTGTCCTGTAGTTCCTCTGAACTACCTGCAGTAGGACACTGTAAACACATTAGTTCACAAAATGTCTTTTTTTCCTATCTCGGCCTGCTTAAACAGGGTCTGTTCTCTTGTTTTCCACTGTTATTGACAGTCCAGCCGAGTTTGTTTGTTTTGGCGCCAAATTGTGATAGTCCTCATTTTGGAAGTTGTCTGATGCACACTGGAAGTACTGGAGCTCTCTGTTCACAACTTGTAATTTTCTCATTGGAATGACCTGAAATCACACACCACCTCCTCCCCCCAGCCGTAACACCCAGTCACGTCAGTGAAAGAGAATAAGCGCTGCTTCCTGTCGGGCGACATGAGTTTGTCCCACTCTAATGCCCCAGTTTTAAAAACATGATCTGATTTTATCTTAATAGTAAGAAGCAATAGATTGTTTGCCTGGGGGGAGCTGGCTGCTGTCCCAGGGCCCTCCTGAAATCTCATGGGTGGATGACCTCTGAGGGATGTTAGCTGATTTGTGTCACTTTATTAGTTTAGAAGATGTAACTTTTATCTTGTTTTTAGGCTCTGGAGACATTAATCTCAGCTAGTCTGAGGGTCCAAAGCTATACAGCACCCAGCAAGCATTGGGTTTCGGTGCAAATATTAAAATATTATTAATAGTGATTTTTGTTTCCATCCAGAGCCATAAGCAGGTCAGTTGTTTGGTTGTTGCTGAGCAAGAGTACCAGCCCAGTCTCAGTGTCCAATTTAAATGCATAAGCTGAGCACCATTTGTAAAGGTTCTCAAGCAGCAGTTGATTTGTAAACATAACCAGGAAGTTAAAAAAAACAAACAAACAAAAAGTAAAAATTAAAAAAATTACCAAATCAAAACAAGAAGAAATAAAGTTCACAGAACTGATCTGTCCCCAGGAAAAACCACAAACACTGCAGTCAGCTGACAAACCTCCAACATATTTGTAGTTCTTTTATTTTTATGTTCAATTCTTTGTGAACCATTATCTCCAGACATACAGTTCAGCTGCGACACATGAAAGCACTTTTGCATAACTGTAGTGTTATTTGTCTTCTACTGGATGTGTTTGAGCAAATATGAGCATATTGCTCCAGTTCTGGCCTCCTCACACTGGCTTCCAATTCAATTTAGGCTCTATTTTAAAATCCTTTATTGGTTTTTAAATCCTTAAATGGTCTGGCACCTGTATACTTGTCCGATCTGCTGAAGCCCTGTGTCCCCCCCTGGCTCACTCCGGTCAGCTGAGCAGCTGTTGCTCTCAGTCCCTAAATCATGTTTGAAACTTAGAGGAGACCGAGCGTTCTCTATTGTGGCCCCGAGGCTTTGGAGTGATCTTCCTCTGCCTATTAAACAATCTACATCAGTGCTGGTTTTTAAATCCAGACTAAAAAGTCATTTTTATTTGCTGGCCTCTGACTCAGTGGGTAACTGACACTATTATTTTATTGTTATTTAGTTACTGTATTTATTATTCTTATTGTATTTTTAGGTTTTTATTGTATTTTTTATATTTTCTGCACTTTGTTCGGCCATGTTTTGTTTGTGGTATATAAATAAACGATGGTTTGGTGTTATGGAGTCAGAGGTCACTTAAGATGTTCACATGGACCATTCCACAGCTCATTCAATTGAATGCTTCCCTTTTAAATAATGTCAGAATTTCAAACATCTGCTATGACAGCAGGTTTTTATTATTTTGATTTATTTTTATTATATACTGAGGGGCCTGGCACTACTTACTGTCTGGGTTAGAGGTTTGGGATGTAAGAGTAATGCTCATGACACAAGTAATTAAAAGCGACTGTGTCAGTTTAATAGTAAATCAAATGGTTTCCTGCATCTTTAAAAAAAAAATGTTAGTTGTCCATCTTACCTGTTTTTAGTTTTACGTTTCAGCTGAAGTTGAGTCAGTTAAAATATTTAGGTGTTGCTTGTTAAAAGAAATCATTATCCCTCAAAACAAGAGACTATTTTTTCAGATTTGTTTAAACACAAACTCGTCTCGAGCCACGTTCTTTTCCATATCTGACAGCTTGCTCATTAGCAGAAGTGGCTATATAGCTGTGATGGTCCACTGCTGCCTTGTAACTGCAGAGGAATCCCTCACCCTAATGAGTCAATAGTGCTGGTGTAATGAGGCAGGCCTGTCTCTGCACAGCCTGAACCTGTTGTCTGACGTATTGCAGCTCCTCCCAGTTAACAGTTTATTCATAAACTGCATAGCTGCCCCAGAGGACAGAATTATTTCCTATTAGAAAAAGAAATCTAGGTTCAATACAGAATGAAGACGTGCAGTAAGGCTCTACAGTGTCGGTTAAACAAACAGGCATGGAAGGGTTTTCTACTGGAGGGCAGACAAACTCCAGAACAAGCTGATACACAGAAAAGAGTCTGCTTAAGAAGAACAGGGACGACTCGGACTTCACTGTCATTTCCTGGTCTTGACCAATACTCTTCAGGCTTTCTGAAGGTCCGCCCAAGTTTCTCTTTGGGCATTGGCTGCTTTTTCACTCATTTTCAGTCCAGTCTTTGTACTTGACCATTTCCAGAGAAATATTGTATGTGTGTTTTTTTTATTTTTTGTCCTTTATTGTAAGCCTGTTAACACTGACTTATCAGTCATTCAAGCATTACTAACTCGACCACCTAACTTGATGAAGTCCTTGTTCCTAGCAGAAGCATTCATGCTCAAAGAA